CTGTATCTTTGATGCTTTTAATCGGTCAAAAAAATCAAGAAAAAAAATCCATCTTTCTCCTCCAAATACCCCACCGTTCTTAAGTATAATTATATTGCTTATTGCTCTCTCCCTTCTCCTTCCCACACTTACTTCCTTCTCTCTCCTGTTGCATATCAAACCAACGGAATGCACTTGAAAAAGGAAGGAAAACACGGAAGAATATGCGGTCAAAAGAACGACGGTCAAATTAAGAAGCCCAAAAAAAGTTTTCTGATACAAATATGGACTCTTCCTTCTGCTTGTCCCATCCTTCCCCCCCTCCCCCCATGTCCACTTTTTTTGAGGTTGGAAACGTGTGTGTGTGTGTGTATCTGTGTTTTTGAAACATAATGGAATTCAATAAGTCGAACAAAACGAAATCAGCCAAAAGGAAAAAACTGCACTAAAAATTTCCTATCGTAAATGCCAAAACTTTTTTTTTTTTTTTTTCCTCAACAAAACTAAAAAAAATTGTTTGACCAAAATTTCACTAAAAAATTCATTGTTGTAAAATAACTGATCAATTTTTTAAGCATTGCTTTTTATTTCTTTCCTTTCCTTTTTTTTTTCATTCACATTTCGCTACAATAAAAAAGGCAAAAAAAAAAAAGAAAGAAAAGATAGGAAAAAAAAATTTTTTGAAGAAGGTATTAGACTGAGCAAAAAGGGAGCAAAAAAAAAAAAAAAAAACTATTGCATATATGTTCATATTTAAACTTTTTTTTTTTTCTGTTTTAGTCTTTCAGATTCCACACAGCTTTGATGTAACAACTGAAGCAGATTCGATTATCAGTAACCCTTCGTGAACAGATACAGAATGAGTTGTGCAGCAAAAAAAAGAAAAAGAAAAAACCTGTCACCTGGCAGTATCAATGAACCAAAACAAAAACAAAAGAAAAATTTTTTGATAGTTTAACAGCTTTAAGTATAAATAATTGAAAAAAAAAAAAAGAAAAGCAACAAAATGAAAAATTTTTTTTTTTTTTTTCAAATGCTTATAAATTTTGTATTAATCAAATAGTTTAATGTCATTTTTTAAAAGAGTGAAGATCAAAGAGCAAAAAAAAATTTTTTTTTTTTTGCTGCTTTTGACCAACACGGAAGAACAATTAAAAATGATTGAACAGCAAACAACAGTTGTATGTGTGTATATATCATATATCATTCATATCTATATTATTGATATGTGCAAAAAAAAATGAAAAATGAAAAATGAAAAAGGAATGAAAATGAAGGATGAAGGGGAAAAAAGAGGTTGTGAAGGAACAGTGAAAGAAGTTGCAGGAAAGAGGAAAGAAGGAGAAAGGTTGAAAAAGTTGATATTTTTGATTAAAAAGGACAACGAAACAAAAAAACAAAAAAATGTGACAACAATCACTGTATAAATAGAAAAAAAACAAAACAAAAACTTTGCCTCGTTATTTGTGTATCGTTTTTTTATAATATAAGCGAAAAAAAAATGCAATGATGTAAATGAGGAAAAATGAGATATATAATAATTTGAATAAAACGAGCAGAAAAAAAAAAAAAAAAAA